TCATCATAAAACACAGTGCCAGATTTACCGTGTCAGTTAGAGCAAATAGCGTGGTGGTAACACGTTTGCTCATTCATAAATTCATAAATAAAGTACTTTTAGCTTTTAATAGTATTTTTCAATTTACAATGGATTTTACAAGCCAATTTACAATTTACACATGTACAAGTTACATATTTATGAGTAAAAATTAATTTCTTACAAGTAAAAACTGAATTTTATAGTCAGTATTTAAGTATTCAGAAACACTACATTAAGTTCTTTTATTAAAAAAATCATGGAAAATTCCGTTTTTTAGCCCCTTTGTTATCATTGTTACAGAAAGTAACAATGATAATGATTATGAAAATAACTGTGCACATGGGAATCTAGTTGGTAGTTCAGTGTGAATATTGCCAGTATATAATTTGTGAATGTGAAGCAGAATTTGTAGACTTAGATGTTTGCTTGGTCATTGAAAGAAATCCGTCAATTTTTCTGAATTTCTGCATAATTCAGCTGAATTCAGTTGAATTGGTTTGATGTGAAATGGTCTATTGTAGAGCTTAAACATACTGACCAGGTAATAGGAACGCAACACAAATATAGCCATTTTATCTGCTATCCATTCGTTCTGAGTACACTCTCAGAAAATAAAGGTACTACACTGTCACTGGGGTGGTTCCCTCAAGGGTACACCTCAGTACCTCTAGTCAGGGAACATAACTGTACCATAATCCACTGAAATTATATTTTGTACTATCTAATGATAAGTTGTACTGACTCCACACACCCCGTCTCGCCTCCAGACTTTTATTGTACTGTTCTGTTTTAAAACATTCAGTTATGAAAAGGCACAAATATGAACTTTTCACCTGGAAAAACTTATTTAAGATTCACAATTTGACCTTAAAGCCACTGTTGTTCCTTTGAGGGAACATTTACACTGTTTGTACCTTGAAGAACTAAAAATGTACCTGCACAGAACCTTTATTTCTAACAGTGTATGTAATGTTGATGATGATAAAATAGCGGTAAATCTGAAAAAATAAGTTTTCTTTGGGGACTAGTTTGCCTTATGACTCCCTGTACGTACCCCTTCACCATGATTGGATGCTCAAAAATAAATTTTAGGTCAAAAGCTTTTCCTAAACTGATCGTGAACCAAAGTCTTGGCAGGCAGCATTTTCATAACCATTTCTGTGTAGGAGTTTTTAGAGGCTTTAAACTCTTTGTCTGGTTCCTATCACCACCACTGTGAACATTCTGACCATAAGAATGGCGCATTGCATTCTGAACAACTCAATTCTACTGACCTTCTGAAAAAACTGTGCGCGTGAAAGGTAGTCCATGATGAATAAGGGTCGTAGTGTGCAAAAACACATATTAGAACACAGCCGTGTTGAGTTTTAGGCAAATTACAGGTCTGTATGGTTCCTATTAGTGCTGAGGGGGTGTATAACTTCTGCAGAACTACAGTTAAACGGCTCTGAATCACTCTAGATTACCCTTAGGCCTCTGGAGACAGGATGACTCGGATGAGCGCTGTCCAGGGGTGGTTGATTCATCCCCTCTGCTGATTCAAAGTGAGACTGCAAGCAGAGCGTGGAGAAACAAAACTCGGTTTGACTCACAGAAGCCATTAGATTGGATGTCATCAGGCCCTCGCTGGACAGAGCATGTACGTGACTGTGTAGTTGTAAAGGCGAGCGTGTGGAGTAATTAGTCTGACTTCAGACAGCTGGCCGCACATATTGGGAGGTCTCGGGGCTGATTTCAGCATGGGGGTCCCCATTCACATCCCACAGAGCAAAGCTGCTTAGTTGTTCTGGGGTAAAGAAGCGAAATTCCTTTGTGATTATTAGCCCAACTGCAGTGTCATCTGTATTAGTTTATCATACATTGATTAATTGCTTTTGAAAGTACAGACTGAACCTGGAACTCTGTGATTTTCCATATTAACTCTGAAGTCTTAGACATCATCAGAGATAAAAGCATGCTGTGGACTGATATGAAGTATTTCTGACTCATAGTTCACTGAGTGGAGAAATTTTGTGGAATGTGTAGATTCTAAACTTTCGATCCATAATGCAAGAGAATGCAATATACTATGATTTGAATTTGATGACAAGTTGTTGTTATACATACAGTCTTGTTTTGCGAATGGAACTTTTTGAATTTGTATGTTTTTGGCTAACATATTTATAACATTGAATAAACAGAAAAGGTTTTGGAAGTGCAAACCTGTCAATAGAGGCCATAAACCGACTGTAAGTCAGGGACCACCTTGGATTTATATCATTTTAAGTCAAACCACTTGCATAAGGAATGGGAAATGTAAAGAAAAAAACAGAGTTTCCAAAAATGATTAAAAGCTACAGCAAAAACCGGCCTCCTAACAACCACCTGGAAGAGCTGGTAGACACCAAAACTGCCCCCATCAGATAAACAGCACTTAAAGCTTTCATCTCTGAGAGACAGGAGAAAATCAAGCTGCTTCAGATCTGAAAACATCCACAGGTGTTTCTGTCCATCCTTCCACTGTGAGAAGACGACTCAGCGCTGTGGGTCTGGAAGGATGTGTAGCTGTTCAAGAAGAACCTCACTGAGAAAAGGAGACGGACACATCAAACAAAGAAGCTGAACAGTGGACTGACCACCCCAGAGTCCAGACCTCAACATCACTGAATGTCTTTGGGATTACTTGGATTGTGAAGTCCAACCAATGCTGTAATAAAAGCAAAGCACACAGAAAAATTGATATTATAATTAGTTGTTGAGGCTACTGTGTCATCTTTTGTTTAATATGTGTTTTCCTTTTTCCTGACACTGAAAAGTGTATAATTATCTTAATGGCCTCTTGGTTTTGATGGGAAATGGCATAAATGAAGGGTGGTCTCTGACTCTTACACAGTAGTGTATGTCAGTTATTTAGTCGGCTCAGTTTTTGTCAAAATATACATTTTTAACATAGGACTACTATTGTTTGAATAGAGTCGCTACATAACGTTGAAAGTAACAATACACTATTGTTACACTAACAATATGCACTCATCTAGCACTTTATTAGGAATACTATACTAAATACTAGGGTCTCATTTTGCTCTCAAAACAGCCTCAGTTCTTCATGGCATGGATTCTACAAGATGTTGGAAACATTCCTGAGATTCTGGTCCATGTTGACATGATTGCATCATGCAGTTCATGCTGGGAATCTCCCGTTCTACCACATCCCAAAGGTGTTCTGTTGGATTCAGATCTGGTGACTGGGAAGGCCAGTGAAGAACACTGAGCTCATTGTCATGTTCATGAAATCAGATAGAGATGATTTTTGCTTTGTGACATGGTGCATTATCATGCTGGAAGTAGCCATGATAAATTGTGGCTATGATGGGATGCACATGGTCAGCAACAATACTCAAATAAGCCCCATACCATTACACCACCTCCACCAGTCTGGACTGTTGACACAAGGCAGGTTGGGTCCATGGATTCATGCTGTTGGTATCGGATTCTGACCCTACTCAGTAGAAATCGAGATTCATCAGACCAGGCTACGTTTTTCCAGCATTCAGCTGTCCAGTTTTGGTGAGCCTGTGCCCACTGCAGCCTCAGCTTTCTGTTCTTGGCTGACAGAAGTGAAACCTGATGTTGTCTTTTGCTGTTGTAGCCCATCCGCCTCAAGGTTTGATGGTTGTGCATTCTGAGATGATTTTCTGCCTCACCACAGTTGTACAGAGTGGTTACGTGAGTTACTGTAGCCTTTCTGTCAACCCAAACCTGTCTGGCCATTCTCCATTGACCTTAGTCATTAGATAACTACATAAATGAGTAGGTGCACAGGTGTTTCTAATAAAGTGCTTGTGAGTGTAGAAAATCTACATTACCATCATCTACAGTTTCTCAGTAGGTTGGGGATTTTTTTTGCTAATGTTCTGTAGAGACAGCAACCTAGCAACAGTTGCTACAAAAGAGTGTATTTGTGGGAGGAGCATAGATAGGTCGCTGATGTCCTCACTGTTACTGGTTGGCAGTTTTCTTAATGTAATTCCTCTGTTAATATTTAATGAAAAACTAAAGTTGTCAGTATCATTTAGGCTCTCATCACCTGCTTTAATCCCTTACTGCTTTCAGAACTGGCTCACACATTAATTTGATCAGTCACTCAGCTTTAGCAGAGCCAGTAACACTGAGATTAATAACTGTCAATGATTTGCAGTCTGCTCAGGCTTTAGCAGAGCTCAGTAACACTGAGATTAATAACTGATCATCACAATAATTGATCAGTCTACTCAGGCTTTAGCAGAGCTCAGTAACGCTGAGATTAATAACTGATCACATTGTTTTATCGGTCTACTCAGGTTTTAGCAGAGCTCAGTAACACTGAGATCAGTAACTGATCACATTGATTTATCAGTCTATTCAGGCTTTAGCAGAGCTCAGTAACACTGAGATCAGTAACTGATCACATTGATTTATCAGTCTACTCAGGCTTTAGCAGAGCTCAGTAACACTGAGATTAATAACCGATCGTCACACTGATTTATCAGTCTACGTAGGCTTTAGCAGGAACTTATTTTTTGAGTTCTTTTTAAGAGAATGTCTTTACATGCCATGCCCTTATTTTAAAATAGTTAATAAACAAATTGAGAAGGGTAAGTATTCTCCTAAAAATGTAAGTGGGAAAAGCTGACGTTTCTCCCATGTGTTTTCTGTATGGACTCTTGACAGCTTTATGTAGTTCCCTTCAGGAAAGAACTTGTGCTGATGAAAAACTTCAACTTGTTTTCACTTTTTTCACATTTTCTCACTTCTCTAAGGTCAGAAGGTCTTCAGTGTTTTAACAGTGAGAAATGCTACCTGATGTCCCTGTGTGCAGGTGTCAGGCCTGCGTCTGGAGCTTTTCACCACATTTCTGGGGGAATGTGTTGGAAGTGGCCAGTCAGAAATAAGGTAAACTAGACAAGGAGGTGCAGAGGTGCCATAAGGTTCAGACATTGAGAAAAAACAAAAGTAGTGGCTTGTTTTTAATATGTTTATTGAAAAAAGTGACTAAATATATTCATTTCAATTCATTATTACAATCTGTGAGCATATAGCGGAATAACAATAACAATATCCTACATGAGCTGCTTCATAGAGTCTCTCCTTCACATTGTCTGGGGAATGGATTCAATAGCACCTGATTGGGTTCATATAGCATGACCAGTTTGACATGCCTTGACCAGGGCTGGGGTCAGTTCCATCAATTCTGAGCCAGTTAAGGTGGTAAAATAAAGGGAACCAACATGAATTATTTAGGGATGCAACGATATGAGAATTTTAGACCATAATTTTATGCCGATATCTGATATCCAATATTTTCATACCTGCTAATGCCGATACATAAACATGATACATTTAAGGTAGAAATTAGAACTACTATCTTCCTGGATTAGCATTACAGAAATCTGTAACATTTAGCTATTAGGATTACAATGCATAAATTGAATACAGTCATGTGTAAAACTTTATTGCATAATTAATGTTTATTTGCTGAATTTAACATATTTAAAAAACTGGAACTTAAACTATGTAAAAAGTGGGGCATGTGCAAAAGTTATGGTACGTTATGTTTGCTGTTTTTTCCAATATGTTAAACTCAAATAAATAGAAATTGTGCAGTAAATTTGCAGAAAAATGCCGTATTTAACTGAAAATGAGCTAAACAGAAATGCACACGACAATCTATTGCATACATTTTAGCTTAGCCTCAACATTTTGCTCTTCCAGAGCACAAAAAATGCATCATCAAATATCAGTTTGAAATATTGGTCAAATCTAAACATCTGTCCAATGCCATTAATTAATTAATGCAGTCATCTGCTGATACTGATATGATTCTGATACCACTGGGTTTAATTACAATGCGATATCATTGTGCATCCCCTTTTTCAAGGAACTGAATTCAGGTCAAATCAATGGATATCATGTAGAGGTTTGCTGAATTGGCCAATATGAAATTGCAATTCATTCGATTAAATAGATCTGACCCCACAACCCATTTGGTCAAGACTGTATCCCACTGATTCCTTCTATTACACTCTTTTTTATGCCATAAATGGACTCAAGAACACTGTCACTTGTGTTTAACTACAATACTCTACTGATACATTAGGTACATTGTGCCCCACAAGGCTCCAATGATTGAACCCCAGACCGCCCTCTCTGTATTTAAGGCCCTTCACCTCTGTTTGGGCAGAAAGCCCCTGCAGGCAGCGTATACACCAGGGCCTTTTTAACAGGCCTTTGTGTTTTTTTCAATATAGAAAGCAAAATTCAGCGAATGTAAAAACAATAAACCCCAAAAGACTTGCACAGCAGTGAAGTGCTTACTGGAGAGGCCTGATTAAAACCACATGTTTGGCTTTTGGAATACCTTGGAAAAATCTGTCCACACATTATTATTTTTTACATCATTAGAGTCTACAATACGGGGAATTCATGAATGTATTTCAGGAGCAGGACAACACAGTTTGGTAATGCTTGAACTATGCTACATAACAGTGACATAACCATGGCGTAAACAATGTATGTGGTGGCAAGACAGATTATGTCCAGTAATATAACTGTAATGTTACCGTTACCGGTAATTGTCAGGACGTGTGGTCGTAATGTTTGGTAATGGTAGAATGACACTGTTACATTACTGGACATAATCTGTCATGACTTCACATATTTATGACATTGCTATGTCAATGTTAAGTTGCAGTGTTCACGTTAAGTGTTACCCACAATAACACTGGAAATTATGCTTAAACTGAGCATGCCCATTACATTTTGGTTCATGTTTGGTTCTATCAGATCTCCCTAAGAAGCAGAAATTGATTACATTTGTCCTAGTCCTGGGTAGAGAAGGACCTCGGATGAGATAATTATTAATATGAACTGCCCCTTGTATATTTATTAAGATTATACAATGCACAAATATAAAAATAAATCAACAGAGTAGAAACTCCTCTCACATTTAAAGTGGCTCAGCAAGAGACAGCATTTCGCAAAATACTGGGACTAATGGCACTACAATTTTTCCTAATTATGGAAATTATCCCCTACTGTTTCTTTATACTAGACCAAACAACAAAATATTAACCAATACTCTGAATATATACAGCATTTCTTTAGGTTAAGACTGCAGGATGGATAACATTTGGTCCCTTTTTTGTTCCACGTTCACTGATCTTGGGCCCTGATTTTTCCAAAAATGCACCATTTCAGAAGAACTAGAGTCAGAACTGTGGTGTTACAGTGGTGGTGATAGGAACCAGACGTCTGCCTCCAAAAGAAAACTAATTTTTTTTATGTTTACTGCTCTTTTATCATCATCAGTGTTACATATAAAAACTCAGAAGACACGTGTAAGCTCAGTGGCCATTTAGGAAAGTGAATAAAAATGGCCACATACCCCTGGTTCCTATCACCACCACTGTAAAGAAATCAGAGTTGGCAAATTTCTCTACAATGAGCATTTCTCTATACTTCACATCAGTCCACTCTGAATGACTTTAGGTACATTGCTACTGCTGACTTATGCGGAAATTTTGAAAAGTCAGTGAAACTGCCCTTTAACATTCACGCAAAATATGATAAAAATTAAATGCTGGATCGGTTAAAGGTGTTTATTCAAGTTATCCCAATTCAGTTTCGGTCCGCATGAAAGCTGATCGTGAATAAAAGCACATTACAAATATTTCTACTCATAAGTAGCTGAAACAGTTTTATTTTGTCGGTCCAACTTTTCATTTTTACACGAATCGCATAGGAAAGATCAGTTCACCGATAATATGCTCTGTGGCTGAAATGCGACAGATTAAAGCCTCTGTTTATAAGGACATATACACAGTATAACGCTTTAGAAGCAGCTGCCCAGAGTGGATTGCATTGACGTGAAAGTTGCATTGTCTTTGTTGCGCATGGTTAATGCACTGATTTCAGGCTTATATTCATCTTTAAAGAAAAAAAAGCCTGGCTAAGTCAGTGCGTGGCTTTCCCACAGGAAGATCCTAAGTTTAACCTCACTCCAAATTATCACAAACGACATGTTTGGTGGCTTCTTTAGTTTTGCACTGGAGCTATGAAGCTAATGTTGCTGAGTAGCGCAAGCTTACACTGCACCAGTTAGCATTCTGCTAACTACCTGCCTAAAACACCACACAGTTGTATTAAACCATTGTTGTGAAGTAATCTCACCACACTTGTGGTTTCTAGCACTGTATGACTTACTGTTAACTACAAAAAGGGCTAAATGTGCAGACAAAATTCAGGTTTCAAGCTGTTGCTAATGTTTTTAGCATTTTTCTCCATTTCTATAGGCAATATACTGTGCCAGAAACCACATAAGCAAGTCTATTTGGGATTAATATCTCAACACACTCTGAGGCAATTGTGTGGTGATTTAAGTGCGATGCTAACAGGCGCTACAAAGGTTTGCATTACTTGTTAGCTACTTTAGCGTGTTAGCTCTGGCAAATTTCAGCCCCAAAACATGTTTGAACTGATTGAGTACATCTGAGGTGTGAAACTGTGGAACTTTTTCTCCTAACTATCACTTTAAAGCAGCAACCTGGCCTTACGTCGGCCAAAAGTTGCAGGAAAAAAGAACCTTCTATAGACTTCTACCTTCTACAGGCTTCTAAATGTCGAAATGTGTTCATTTCTCACAGCTAGAACTTCAGCTCCAGTAGCAGTCATCTAAAAGCACTTCAAAGGTGACTGAAAAGAGAGTCAGATGTGATCAATTTTTAAAAAGGCAGACCAGCTTTGGGTTTTAAAGGAATAATTCAGTGAAAACTCACATTTACGTCATTTTCCCCTCACCACAAATGTCAATAAGTCAAGATATGTTTGGTGTCTGAAGTTTGCTTCTTTAGTTTTGATGCTGGGCAAAACTACGCTGCATAGCTAAACAGCAGTAATGGTGATCCTGACGGTGGAATTTGTACTTTTGTTAATTTTTATACATAACACTATATTACAGAGGGCGAATTATACTTTTGCATGTCTGGTCATGGTCAGATGTTCCCATACGCATACAGCAGACTAAGATTAGATTAAGCTAAAGTTATCTTCCTATTCTCATTTCTCATTCCACCTTAAATGATGTAGCAGTTACATTCAGATGCCTGTATGGGCACTAGCAAGTAACTGCTGCACGATTTAAGGTGGAACAGAAGTTATTGTATCAAATTCAGCGTGACAGTGTCAGTTTAGTACTGGCTGACAACAGGCAGCTCATAGTGAATTTCTGTTTTTTCATTGCTGATGGAGCTGTTTTCATATGTGAATCATGCCAAAATGGACAGCAGCGGCATAAACTGCAAAAAATGAAGGCGGCACCGAAAACGCAAGAATGACAAAGCTAATTAAGGAGGATGAGGACATATCCGAGCAAGTGGGCAGTGAGAAACGCTAACATAGACTTACTTAAATAGCATTAGTTTTTAGCATATTGACTTCCAATACTTGGGAAATTAGTAATAAATAAGAGGGATAAATGAAGAAGATGAAGATGTGCAGATTTATAATATATATTTGTAATTTTTTGAATAACCTCTTCTGCCAATCTTCAACCTGCTCCATTTGACTTAGCACTATTTCTGGTTCGGGTCGGGTGTTAAATGGGTCTCGTATAATGCTACTGGATAGCTAATTAGCATTTTCAAGACGCAAGTAGAGATTTTGGAGATTGTACACACCATGTTAACAAGTGTTTGAGGTTTTTGAGGGATGTAGGTCTGCAGTTTGCACAATGCTTATTGCTAAGTATAGTACATGTTAGCTACATTAGCCTTGTAGCTGCAAAAGAAGCAAACTTCAGACACCAAACACGTCTTGGCTGAGTGACCATATTTGGGGTAAATCTGTGTAAACTGCTAAACTATTCCTTTAACAGTGTATTTTAGCAGCCATGGACAGCGTGTGGGTGTGTGTGGTCGTCCATCGCTCTGTTAGCATAGCGGCTGCGTCTTCTGTTAGCAGGCGGACGTGTTTTTAGTCCCAAGACCCCAATCTCTCCCTTGCTTCCTCTCAGACCATCTGTTTTCTGTCTCTCTCTCTCTCTCTGTCTGTCACTCTCTCCATACATTTCTCTCCTTTCCTCTTCCTATATATATATTTATATATATATATCCTTGTAATTCAACATGTCAACAGTTTCCTTTCACAGCTTATACAAATCCAAAGGCACAAATCTGACACACATTTCACTGCTCTTTTTAAGTGGGAAACACAGGAGAAATCCATCTCTCACAATCACGATTGATCCCCTCACTCAGTTCAGCATTCACACCTGCACCGGTGTGACGTCTCAAGCACAGTGCTGCTGTGAGTGTGTGTGTGTGTGTATGTGTGTGTGTGTGAGGCGTTTTGTTGGTGTTTTGGTGGAGCTGCAGTCCAGCTGGGTGCAGAAATAAAGGCGTTTTTAGGAGAAGTGCTGTTTGTGCAAGCAGTCCAGAGTGTGTGTGTGTGTGTGTGTGTGTGTGTGTGTGTGTGTGTGAGGAAGGTGCTCTTGTGATTTATCTCTCTGTAGAGGTCAGAGACACACACCAGTTCTCCAACTCTCCTCACACCATTCCTCTAATCACGCTTTCTTGACTTCTTTATCCTGAGAGAGAGAGAGAGATAGAGAGACACAGAGAGAGAGAGAGAGAGAGAGAGAGAGAGACAGAGAGAGAGAGAGAGAGAGAGAGAGAGAGAGAGAGAGAGGTTGTAAGTTAAAATCAAGTTTCACAGAGTATTACTACTAATAATGCTAAAAATAGATAATTATTATTACTGTTATTAAAGTAAATCACTATTAAAATGAACCCCACTTAATTGAAGAAGTAAAGTTTTGTTTTAAAAAGAAGGTATTTGGCTGATCTGAGTGGATCTGAATTCCATAAAAACTTTGTAAACATAATAATATATATTATTATTATTATTATTATTATTATTATTATTATTGGTAGTAGTAGTATATTCATTTTTGTATTGTTGTTAATAATAATAATAATAATAATAACAACAATAATAATAATAATAATAATAATAATAATAATAATAATAATAATGAGCTATATTAATAAACAAAATATACATTAATGGGAAATTGACTAATGCAAGCCCTACTTGATTAAAGAAGTATTATTATTATTATTATTATTATTATATTATTATATTATCATTTTTATTGTTATCATTATCATTTTTATTGTTGCACCTGTTGTTCTTCGTCCTATTATTATTATTATTATTATTATTATTATTATGGTTGTTTTGTTGTTGTTGTTGTTGCAGTTATTATTATTATTGTTGTTGTTGTGTTTTTCTTTTTCTTATTATTAAAAGAAACTAAATTAATACATTTATGATAAATTAATAAATAAACTAATGCAAACCAACTTGATTGATGAAGTAAAGTTTGAGTTGCTTTTTAAAAGAAGTTGCTTGGCCAATCTGACTTTCATAAAAACATTTGTTGTGTAATGACAGAAATATGTATTATTATTATTATATTATTATTATTATTATTATTATCATCATCATCATCAAAGCAAATCACTCCATAAATGACTTAATTAGTCAATTAATAATTAACTCTAATTCAAACCCTGCACATTCTCAGACAAGCCAGTATCCAAAGGTCCAAAGGACAATTTGAGTCAGATTTAGGATTTAATCACTACTGTAAAAGTCGTCTATCAGTTAACTGAAGTTTGTTTCTTTAGTTTTGCACCTCAGACTGCTGCTTATGTCAGTCTGTGTTTATAGACAACAGTACAGCTTTCAGTCTGTTTGCTTTACAGAAACGTTTAACACGTTACATTGTCTCAACAAAGGGGAGGAGCTTTGGCTTCTGTTTCTTATTAGCTACATTAGCCTCACGTCTCCAGCTAAAGCAGCAGACACCAAATGTGCCTCGACTCATTGACTGTATTTGAATATGTTTTTACACTAAATTCATTTAAAACTGTTCCCATTCAGGTGAGATTTGAGGGGAATGCTGTGTGTCCCGGACGGCTGAGAGCGATTTTGTAGCACTGTGGGGGTATTTTGTTTGCCACCTGCCGCTCTGTGCTTTTCTATGGGGGGGTTTCTGCTTACTTGCTAATGGCGTTCTTCAGGTACAGCTGCAGCCATTTGGTCTTGGGGTTGATGCAGACCTCCCTGTTGTTCTTCAGCTTGGCACTGAGAATAAGAGAGAGAGGGAGAGGGAGAGAGGGAGAGGTCTGAGTGAGCTGAATAGTGAGGTAATGAGAGCGAATGAGAGAGGAATGATCTGGGACTCGGCTCTGACCCTTCTGTTGTTTTTATCTTGGCACTGGCAGTTAGAGAGAGAGGGAAGATAGAGAGAGTGACCATTAGAGTGAGCTATCTGATGCAGCGGAGAGACCTTTCCATTGTTCTCTGGCCTGCTGCTGGTAATGAGAGCGAGTGAGCCGGTGGGAGCGAGGGATCCGTTTCGGACAAGCAGACGGAGAACGACTGTTCTCTTCTCCCTCTGCGGCTCTGCGGCTCTGTACTATCAGATCAGCCCTTGTACTGAGCGCTGCTCCATTTCAGCTTCACATCTGGCTACACTTGCAGGGCCCCTATCATGGAAAACTGAATTTTTCTTGCTTTTTTTTAATCAGCATGACAAGCATTGCATAACGGAGTGCACCATCATATGCAAAGGTTTTGGCGCCCCGGGTCAAATTATGTTTTGTTGATTTTAGCATAATATCGGGGAAAGTTGTGAAGTTGTGCATTAAAATTAGCAGGAAACTGAATATTTCCTAATATAATTTCCTATAACTAGTTCACTTAGGAATCAACAGCACATAATTTGATCAGGGGTGTACTAACTTTTGTGTATGACTATAAAGCTCTAAACTCACAGTCCTGTTCAGTTACAATTCTTTTGCTCAAATTTTACCACAATTTATTTTTTTAAAAATATTGAACATACAAAGGTAAATGGAAGAAGTATTTACTATTTACTGTTTTACTATTTTATTTTATTAGTTAATTTTTATTCATTTATTTATTATTTATTTATTTATTTATTTATTTTTTTATTGCATTATATTACTTGTTTATATTTTATTTGTTTACTATTTTATTTATTTCATATTTCGAAGTGAAAGGTATTGGTATGTAGGTGATAAAAAACAATACAGAAAGCTTTTATTCTGATTTTTACATTTTTTAAAATAGCCTGAGAATTTTATTTTGGCCAAAACAATGAGCGCATACTTCAGCCAGATCTGTTGTCATTTTAGCTTTCCAAAATAAACGCAGTTGACGCGCAAAACATGGTGAAAAATATACATTTTTGTAAAAGTATTACTTTACAATCATTAAAAAAAATTTTCAAAATTGACCTCCCTAGTTGACACATCTGAGCTGCAAAAACAGCCTGTTTTGAATTAATCATGGATGTGATGTCACAACCACATGGAGGAAAAAATGGTGCTTTAACTTAGAATGTTAGTAACCAGGCTGCCTTTTTGAATTTTGAGTTCATTGAACTTGAAATAATAAGTTAACAAAATGTAAGACGGATTTTTGTTGTGTTAACTTGCAAAATGTTCAAAATGTTAAGGCTTTGTTGCTTAAGATAAACAAAAAATGTTTTTTCACAGTGCATTAAAACATTTACATATTATCACCCATTAAGTATAGCAGTTTAGCCCCCTCATTCCTGCAAAAGTGAGACGGAGTGCTGTTCCTGCAGACGGTCTAAGAGTGAAAATGATTAAACGTTGTACTTTTCATGGCTGTCGGGATGCAAATGTGTCTTTGCAGCCTTCTAAAGGAAGCACACATCTGGATGGAGCAACTGAAGGTTGTTTCCTCCAGCGTCCCTGAACAGTCTGTTACATGTTTCAGCCCAAACTGCTTTTTAAATTATGCACAATTCAGGGCAGCCAATCAAATCAGAGATGATTAACATATATTGGTCTTAAAGGCGAATTTCGCTCATTTGGTTTGGTGTGAAATGGTTGACTGTAGAGACTCAGATGTCTTTACAGTGGTGCTGATGGGAGCCAGGGGTCACAATGTCTGCAACAGAAATATAGACATTCTATTTACTCTCCAAAACCACCAGTGAACCTAAACATGTCTTCTGAGCTTTTATATGCAATGTTGATGATGGTAAAATAGCCATAAATAAAGTTTTCTTGGGGTACCATTTTGTTGTACGCCTTCCTGTACGTACCTTTTGGCCCTGCATATGTTTACAAAACCCCAAAACTTTATCACAAAACTTTGTATAACTTTTGTAAAACCTTCCAAAAAAAAATCAGGCACTGAATTCCTAACCACTTTGCATAATAACTTTGTGGCGCTAATTATTTCAGACATCTGGTTCCTATCACCACCACTGTGAGCACTTCTGACTTGGTAAGTTTCTCTACAACAATGCATTTCATATCTTGAAATTTTCATATTTTGAAAGATAGGTGGAATTCCTCTTTAAAGACACAATAACAGAAACAGCCCGTTTAGTTCCAAGGGATAAAAAAATGGTCATTTTCAAAGAATTATGTTGTTTTGGTGCCCAAAACGACAAGAAACACTGTACAATGTCAGTTCTTTAATAAGCACACATGGGAGGGATGATGGAAAGAAGCTGGTCTGGTCGTGAACAGATGCATCTCTGAGTAAATCAAGGTATGATTAGTGGATTATATCTTTCTATTGAACAAAATAGAAGACCACTGCAGTGCTCTAGAGCCATATTTTATATTATTTAGAGCTTTTCTCACTCCATCACACATGATTTAGCTCACAAATGGACCTAATAATGAATTTAGAGCTGGATTGAGAGTGTTAGAGTGAGAAAACATTATTCCGGAGTCTCTCCGGACACGTCTTAAAGTTAATCTTGGCATGAATTGCGCTGTCAACAGGGGACTTCCTTTTAAAACTCTTTAAAATCAAGGACGAAGCTCAGTCCGTGTGCAGGAAATCTATAATGATGCATAGCAAAGTAAACTTTAATTAATCTTTGGATGTTACTACTGCTTTGCAATACTATTTGACTGTAATTATGTAATCAGAAGCTTAAGTAAATGCACTACATAATGAATTATACACATAATCGATGTCAAAAAAAGGACAAAAATAGGCACTAATGTTAACATCATCCCGTTATTGATGAGCACAATTTAAATGATTAAAAGCTACAGGCCTCCTAACAACCACCTGGAAGACCTGGTAGACAGCAAAACTGTTATTGTCAGTTAAACAGCACTTAAAGCTTTCATCTTTTAGAGAAATTATGCTTCAGATCTAAAAAAAATGTCCACAGTTGTTTCCGTCCATCCTTCCACTGTGAGAAGACAACGATAAGTAACGTAGCTAGGACACTCTCAATTTGCAAGCCTGGAAATATTAGCTGATAGCACCATAGTTTGTTTACGTTGCTGATGCACATATAAGATGTTTCCATTGTAGATATGCTCACTGTAAGAAAGTCGGTTAAAAGTCAGGCCAATTTCAAATTCCTTAAAAAGGAACTGAGAAAAAATGCAACTAAGAAATTAAGCAATTAATTAAGCATATTCTCACGTTTCGTGTGATGTCACACTGTATAGTCGCTAACATTTTAAGCGTGACAGAAGCCGAGAGACGAGAGACACACAGACCTTTAATTCAGTGTTTTCACTCCAGGTTTGGAGCCGCTGCACTGTATAGTTTAGTGTTTTGCTGTTCACACCTCGTTCAGCTCAAGAAGGGATTAATTAGCTAATAATATCAGGTATTTTAACCAGGAAACCACAGTTATGCAGTGCAGGGGTTTCAGGACTGGAGCTGAACTCTGAACTAACTGCACCAGCAAACTTACAGAATCACGTCTGTCGAAACACGACGTCGTTTTCCGACCCACGACATTCAGTCTGATATTTAACGCTTATGTTTCACCATTCAAACCTCATTTAAATCTCCAGAAACACAGAAGTAAAGCAAAACGTGTAAACGCGACTGTTAAACTATACATCACCAGAGAAAAAGTATGAACAGTGTTATTTGGATTGCTGAGAGCAAGTTTAGCAGTTCACTTAACCATGTCTGTCCGCATGTCTGAGGAAGTGTTGTGGTTTAGCGATAATGTAAAGGAGGAGCACTGAAGAGCCAATAGGAAGGCAGTGCATTTTTTGATGAGCATTGACAAAATTAACTATGACAAAAAAAACTATGAACGCAAAAATAACTATAACTGATTTTCTCAGAGTTTTCACTAGATGGGCAGATGATTCCTCTGGGTTCCTATGGATTCCTCTTGGCAGGAATGGGCCATTTGGCTGATAAGCAGCACCTACAGATGGTTGTTTTTGTGTGATGGTGATTTCAAAACAGGGCTACAAGTGGTCAGTGCTAGCAAACATAAGGATACCTTGCGTACTAGCTACTAAAAGCTTTAAAGAACATCACTGATTCACTTTCTTTAAGACATTTGTCCAATTCTGTATCCACTTCTTGGTCCGAAACACGATGCTCAGGACGTTAAAAGCTAGTTAATGCTAATTTCCTCCATTGTAGTAAATCGTAGAAAATGACAATACAACTGCAGCGCTAACTTATGCATAAACCCATCAGCTCCTGTGACAGCGCTACATCGTTAACCAGATCCACCTGAATCTACATGCCTGCTGATCTGGGACATGGTTTTGCTGTCCGTTGGTCAGTGAGTGATGAAGGAAGTGTCAGAGAGCAGCCTAGGCTGCTGGAGCTGGACTGTCCGGTGATGGATGACCGCTTTAAATGCTCGGCTGAGTCTGATAAAGATGGAGGAAACCTTGCAGCTCCAGTGTCATTTATCTTTCAGTGTGGAGAAAAAACCCACACACACAGAAAGAAAAGGAGAAATGAAACAACTTTTGAACAGTGATGTGCATCTCACACCTACAAGCACAAGCATACTTTCTCTTTCCATCTCTTTCGTGCCCACCCACACACCCACTTTACACGTTTTGCTTTGAAGCGTGTGTCTATATCACACCTAGAATAAAAGCACATGCTTTTTCTCACACATACACGAATGTTATGAACACAGACTGATGTTGTACAAAGCACTGGAAGTTCAATACTTTCAACTCTTTCTTTATTTAACGGATCCATATCATAGAAAACATGTTATGGGCCTCTCATTGAAATAAAAGAGTGACATAGTGTATAAGCATTGCTACAATTTCAAA